AGAAAGGCAGAAAGAAAGGAGGGAGGAAGGGAAAAAGAGATAGATGTGAACACTGGCAAATTCTGTTCAATTCATGGAAAGAAGCCAGATCATTCCTTTTAATTTAACTCTTTCTTTTCTCCAGCAGAAGCAAATACTGCGCTTGCTTAATGCTTTATAACTTTTAAAAAGCTTGTCTCATGATGTGACAAGCACCATTAGCCTAACCCAGTAAACAAAAAAAGTGAGATTCACATTAGATCATCATCTGTTTATCAGGAAATTGTTAATAAATTCAAAACTAGTATCTAGGTTTTCTAAGATGTACTCCTGTGTCCTTTCCACTTAAATATCTTTCCTATTTAGTGTCAAGACCAGCATTGCCTATATTTCCAGCATAGATACCTTCAAATTGTAAAAAAAAAAAAAAAAAAAAAAAATGATACAAATACAAGAAATACTTTCATGGAAGAAGGATAATGATAAAGAAAAGTATTTATTATTTTAAATATACCAGGCAGAAGAAAAATGTATACAATGAAGAAAATGTATTATGTAGGCAAAGGTAATGAAAAAGATTTTGATGGTACAACCCTGTTATGTGCTAGAAGACATGGTGGCTTCAGGAGCTGACCAGGATTGTGTGAAATGAATCACAGTCTTCTATGGTTGACAGTTATCAAATGAAAAAAGAAAGGAAATCCTAAGGCATTTTGGTCAATTGTTTTACTTCTAGACTGTACTGTGACTTTCTACATGAATAAAGCACTTGTAAATAATTCCCACAAAACCCATAAAAATAAAGATATTCTTTATGTTTTAGTTTAGTGGTATTTTGAGATGGGGGTTTGTAGTATAATTAATAATAATCCCCCAAATTTGTAACAACTTCTGTTCAACTACCTATAAAATCTGTAGAGAAGACTATGCTCGAAGTCAAAAGCCCAGACTTTTCAGAATGTTAATTTCATTATTCTGAAGCAAGTGTTATCAAATATTTCCTTGGAATGCAAATGCCATAGGAAAAAAAGGGGTGGAGACTCTGTTTCTCTACAGCTTAAACAGAGGGACTTCAGAACAGTGAGGTCAATGCAAAGTAGGTCTATGTTACCGATGCGGTAGTAACAATCAACATTCATACCTGGCATAAAATTAGACTTTATGGATGGTGTTTTAAATCTTTTTAAGTTACTTGAGTAAATTAGACACTTCTAAATTTTTCCTTAATTACTTGATATTTTGCCTAACTTCAATTCTTAACAATATTTCTTGAAAGGTCGTATTTTCTAGCTCTTGTCAGAGGAAGATGTTTGAAACCTCTGAAGGGGTTTCACTCAATCATTTGCATTGGGACTGTTTAGGAAGGGGGTCAGTGGGCGCTCCTGTGAGCTGGTAGGCATTGCTCTGGAAAGATGTTCTTTATAGAAAGCCTCTCAGTGGTTGGACAGAAAGCTTACATCCTAGGCCTTTTTGCGGCTGCCTCACTGAGCAGCTGCTTTGGGGCTCCTCCTTGGGGGCTGGCCCTGCTGTCTAGGATGCAGAACAAGAACACTCTTCTCCTGGCCACTAAGCAGTCCAAATCTGGTTGCACACAGAAGCCAAGGCGACCTTCATGCCCAGATGAACCAGAGATGGGGTTGGGGTTGGCCAAGTGGAGTTCATCTCCTCTGCAGTCCCCAAAGGGCACACAGCTACTGCCATCCCAGATGCCAAAGGGAGAGAATAGAGCCAACCTCAGAGCAAAGCAGTGACCGCTCTCTGGCTCTGGAGCATGAGAAAGGAGGGACAGGTGCCAGATGTCAAGGAGTCCCAGCCAGATCTGAGCCAATGGAACAGGGGCCTCAAAATAAACCAAACAGAAAATGGAGAGTCCTGAATAGGTTGTCTTTGTTTTTTGTGTTTGTTTTCCTTTACTATTTTGAAAAAAATAAATCACAATTAAACTGTTCTCTCTTTGCTTGCTCAAGGTTATAGGTAAGTGCAAAGATAATACTACAAATTATAAATGTCTAGCAAACATTCTTCTTGGAACCTCAGACCTTTCATCAACAAGGTTGTCATTAATATAAAGTACAGTTACCAAGATATCAAGGATGAAAACAGGCTGAGCCACTATTTAACCTTCTCACCAAATCTTCATTGCTTAAATGTTAGAAGTGGTTACTAATATCACAAGGATGTTGCACAGATGAATTAAAAATTATGTCGAAGATTTCTAGACTATTTGGAGAAAGTAAAAGAAAAATTATAAATTTATGTATGTCTTGATAAACATACCTTAGATAATCCATTTCAAAATAATGATTATGTTCATTACATCATCACCAAGAAACAGAGCATAATTATTACAGAGACGTCACCAAAGCATGTCTTACTTGCCCATGGCTACAAAGTAATGACTCAGAGTTCGTAGTGTATCTCATGGGGACAGCTCAAATTATGCAATAAATATCCCTCCACTTCAACAGCACATAGCCCAAAATACATTAAACATTTTTGAACAAGTGGAATCTAATAAAAAAATGAACATCAATAATAGCATTCATCTGTGAATCCATGAAGGTAATCATGAGAAACAGCAGAAGTTATTGTGCTGCAGATGGGGCTGATTCCAAAGGGCCACACACCGTGACACTGAGAAGTGTGTGAGTGTGTGTGTGTGTGTGTGTGTGTGTGTGTGTGTAAGTGTGTGTGTGTGTGTGTGTGTGTGTTCCAGCACATGCATTATATGCAAGGGGGAGGAGAGCAGTTAGCAGGCAGCCTGTCCCAGACTTTCCATGACTATGGCAGAAAAGAAGAGTGTGTATTGCAACTGTTTGTAGTGATCCCACATTTCTTAGCCCCATCTGGCTGCACTGTCTTATCCTCCTACCCTGTTTCTCAAAGTTATTCCTATCTGGTCTGTGCCACATATGAGGGGATCCCAAAGCTTGATAACTGAGGCCACATCTCATGATTTACTGAACTCTATGTAGTACACATTGAAAACTCTTCTTTGGAAATAACAATTCCTAGAAGGAAAATTATTTTGCCCAAATGATATCAGATACTCTATTTCAAAGAATTGTCACTATAGTTTACTTTGGCCTTACTGAAGAAGACTGTAGGGCTTTTCTTTTGTAATGGAAGATCCTCTGAAATATAATCATCTGATTTGGTGCTCTATTAGACCTTCCCCATCCTTTAGAAGTGCCATCTAACATAAGCTCAGCACTCTGATCTGCCCTTCACTTATGTGACCCCATGGCTATGTAATGAATATTCCACAATTTTACTCAAACTTAAGAGAAGCATGTACTAGTGACTTCGTTCTTAGCATTTTATCTGAAGAGCTAAGTTCCTAGAGTTAAATGGAAGAGGAAGGAAAGGGATTAACCTCTGCTGCTAGCATAGTACAGTCATGATGCTAATGTCTCAGTATGAAAAAAAAGCTGAATTGCAGCAATATCTGAAATCACAGAGACAGTCCTGAGAGCTTTGAAGAAAAAAAAAAGTAAAATGCCAAAGCTAGTTTCAGATTCTAATTTTTATGCAGGCATGCTTAGTAGAACTGTGCATTACATGAACTTATAATTTAGATAAGTAAGGAGTGGGTCAGTGAGTTCTGAGATGAGGAAGTTTTAAGAACCTGTAACTTGTAATTGTGCTATGGGTGAGTCCCAGTGATTCCTATAAATGTTTTTCAAAATGTAACTCCAACACAGTATTTATTTACTTGTAACGCTTCAACTAGTAAACAGCCAGAAGTCTATTCTCTTTTCATTTGGCAAGAAGGTTCTATAGCTACACAAAATATCCCCCAGCAATGAAAAATGAAACCCACAAATGTAACATTAGCAACCAGCTGTCAGAAGAAAATCAAGAGAAGGACTGCCAGTCTGGTCATTTCCTGGTGAGTGTTCATGAGAAGGACTGTGTATGTGTATGCACTTGCGTGTGCAAATGAAGAGACTTGCATGTTCAATAGCAGGAGAAATGTGAGCGGGTGCAGGTCCTAATGATGGCAGAATGCCTAACATGAAGATGTAGTAGAACCTCAATGGTAGAGCCATATAGCACAGACCCTCTAAGGCTAATTGTGCAAGGCTTCTCTTGTGGTGGGAAGTATGAGATAGGTAGATTAAAAGATAATGTATCTTTATGTTGGAAAGACTTAATGTATTGTAGGTATGTTTAACATTGATGAGAGCTCTGGATGCCAGCTTGTAAGTGAAATGCAAACAATATGTATGTGTTTTCATTTTTAACCTTCGTGAATTCACTTCACAGTCTCCCCCAAACACAGAGACCTAAAAATCTCTTCAAAGTAAACACCCAGCACTAGCTATTTAGTCCTCCAAGCATGAAACACATTGACCATTCTGAGCCAGCACAGCTATTAACCGTGGATTCTCAAATTCTCTCTCTTGCTGGCTCACTCTCTCCCTCCCTGCCCCCGCCCCGCTCTCCTCCACCAGCATCCCTTCCACTTCTCAGGGTAGAAGAATATGTACGGGTTATTTTGCCTAGAAATGCAAGTACCAGGTGCCAAGGGAATACCCAACCTCCTCCTAAACTTAATGCCAATTTCCTCCTGAAAGAGGAGGAATGCAGTAGTATCAGTACCAGGGACGCGGGGACAGCGAATACCACAGCAGCGCACAAGGAGTTTACAGGGGAACAACCCCAGGTCCTCTGCCACCCCCCTCCCACCAGTCCCCGCCGCCGCTGGCAACACTACACACACACACACACACACACACAAACACGCGCGCGCGCGCACACACACACACACACACACACACGGGTTCAAGATCTCCACATCAACACTGCCAACACGGATATTGCAGCAAGTGTGTCCGCACAGTCCTGCACGCCTCAGGACTCAGCCTGGACGCAGCGCAGGAAGGGCAGGGAGCGCACCGCAGGACTTGTAAATAAGCCGGGTTCTGTCCAGAATCTGAGCACCCCTTACCCTATTACCACTCCAGAGCCCGCGGCGCGAAGGAGGGGACGCGAGGGGTTAGGGAATCCCCCCTTACCTTGCAATGAGAAGAGGGACAGGAAGAAGCCCAGCACCCAGACGCTGTGCAGCCAGTAGGTCCTCATGTCTTCGCCGCGCTTGATGCTCCCTCACACGCTTGGCTCTCGACCCCTTCTGCTCGCGCTCTCTAGTAAAACGCGCCGCTTGCTTCCCTCGGTTTCCCTCTGGGCTCTCCCAGCTCCCGCAACCAGGACAGATGAGGCTCCTGCCACACGACGGACGGATCCCAGAACAGCTTAGCTCTCCACTTGGAGAGCGCGAATCAGAGTCCGGGATGGACGCTCGAAGCCTGTGTCTGGTGTAAACACAGCGAGCCCCCTTCTCCCTCAAGCTCTCCCGCTCTCCTCTTTCCTATCCTCCTCTCCCTCACTCCCTGCAGCTCCAACTAAATGAGACTGTACTTAAACAAGCAGCGCCTTATAGGACCGGGAACCAAGCCGAAAGGACCCCGCTACTGCCATCTAGTGCGCACATCCCTACATCGCCACAGCCCTGCATTTGCTTGTGTGTCTGCGCGAGGTCCATCCAAGGCAGCCAAAGTACCCTTTACTCTCAGAAAACACAGGTGAAGCTGTTGCCTTAAGTCCTTGACTTGACCTTGTCCGAGAGGTCATGATTGTCTCCTTTTCACGAGGGAACAGTTGAAACTACACGGGCATCTTCATTACCACATTGTTCCCTTTCTCTCTGAAATCTCTCTTCTTTCTCCCAACCATTCTGAAATGTTCCTACAAATGTCACCATGTCCTCCACCTCAAAAGTCTTCAGCTTCCTGAAGCCTCCTCCTACCTTACTTTTAAGCTCTATTTCACAGTATCTACCATTCTTTTTACTCAGTTTAAAAATCATTGGGTCAAAATAGTTAAACAATTTCTGACCTTCTCTCCAAGAGCCCTCTGAATCCTCCACTTCTTCTTTATTTATATCTTGTGTTATATTTTCATTCTCCTAAATTTAAGTTATTTAGAAATGAAATAATCATCTGTTATGATTACTTCAAGATGAAAACTTCCCCATTCACCTCCTACTTGGACCTCAGATCAAATTCCCAGCTGGGTCTCATGCAGCATGAATGCAGCAACGGAATGACTCCAGGCCAGGTGCAAGCTGGGTCAGAGGCCATATGGAACCCCTCTAGCTGACTGGAAATCAGGACAGTTGTATTTTACTTCTGCCAAGGTGTCTACACTTCTGGAGACCCTAACCAAGTCATTCAATCTCTGAATTTTATTTTATTCCTTGGTGAAATTAAAGAATTGAATTATAGGATCATGACATCTTTGGCCCCTTCCAATTCCGCTTGTAATTCTATACCAGGTTTTTTATCTCAGCACTATTAACATTGTACTAGGTAATTCTTTCCTGTGGGACACTGTCTTGTGCACAACAGTATGTTCAGCTGCATCAAAGGATTTGCCTCTACCCATTAACTGCAAAACCAAAATCATCTCTAGGCATTACCAAATTTATACCCAGTTGAGAATCTCTATTCTCAACCTACTGTTATTTTCCTTCAAGAATTAGTCCTTGTTCCAAATGTCTGTTTCTGTTAAGGGATCACCCAGTTCCACAGGCTTATGCCTTTAGAAGTGTCTTCCATTCCTCTCTTGTCTGATTTTAGTTGGTCATCAATCTCATCAATGTGAATAGGACTAAGATGCCTCTGTTTTCACAGCTTCACTGCCACTATTTTCGTATCTTAAATATTACTTCCCAAAATATTTTTTAAAATATCTGTTTTGAATCTCCTTACACTGCTCTAGTATATTCAAGCACAATATTAGTTATTAGTCAGAAATGCAGAAACACAGCAGATTGACTTGTAAGATGACTTCTTTTGGCATACAGCAGGCTAGTGAAAGCAACATCAGCAGAGCTAAAGTAAGTCTTCTGACTCTAATACTATTTCTAACCCATCTCCATAGGTCTACGATAGCCTCATAGTCCATCCCCCCTTTTTCCCAATTTCTGCTCTAATTAAGCTATACTTTTTTACCAGTTGAATCCACTTTAACACTTTAAGATGCTACCCAGCTTCTGATTTATAGCAGATGCCTGTGGGCTTCTGTATACATATTAGAAATACGAAGGGACTTTCAAAACATATATATGCATGACCTCACCACAGACCAATTAGATCTGAATTTCTGAAGCAGAGCTCTCCCATTAGTACTTTTTTTTAAAGAACCCAGAACATTCTTATCTGCGGTCAGGGCTGAGAAACAGTAACCTAATATATTGAATTCAGTATTCATTTTTTAACTCAAGGTCCTCTGAAATGTTTCATCTTACCTTTAAAAATTCACAGTCTCTTGTATCCCCAATGGAGATCTTCTCTTCCAGATTAACCAATCTTCTTTTTTGTCCTATGCACATTCTTCAACTGCTCCTTGTTTCTCTTGCCAAGATTTCATTACTCTCAGTAGGCAAACTGCGCAGTGGCCAGAGGAGGGACTTTGGAGCTAGAACTAGGTAGATCAGGCTTGCTTCTAATAAACCATGAGACCTTGTATGAGTCTCACAGGGCTTTTACAGGTCTGACTTATGAGGCGCTGGGAACTCAGATGAAAGACAATCTCTTAGTGTTCGTATTAAAATTCCAAACAACTTAATTAGAAGCTATATTAACATATTTGGATGCTGAAGTCTAGGTATTTTCTACTCTCTCTAGGTGATTTCTGTGCTCTCTTATGATAGAGACTTTATCTAAGAACCACAAAGTGTTATAAGTTATGAGAAATTGTTAAACTCATTTACTTTATTTTCTCAGCCTCAGTGCCATTGACACATTGGCCAGATAATTAATTGGACTCTTCTTTACATTGTAGGGTGTTTGGCAGCATACTTGACCTCTACTCATTAGATACCATAAGCACACTCTCATATCTCAATTTGTGACAACCAAAAAGAACTCCAGAAATTGCACATGTCCCCTGGGAACTAATTCCTGCACCTCAGCTACTTACCAGATAGTTGGGAACTACTTTTCTAGACCAAATCTCATTATTAAAGAACCCAAGTTCCAGGGAATTCACTTGATCTGGAATTTTACATTAGACATGCCAGATTGGATTTGGATTTGCCAGAACCAAGGAGTGGATTACATCAGACTTTGTGATCTCTCTACATTAGGCAAAAAATGACTTCCAACAATTAAGGTATCTCAAAACTGTACTTGGTGCACAAATTAGACATTTGCCTGCAACATATTAACTATAAGAACTATTTTTATATATTACTTTGATAAATCAGTTTCTAATTAATGTCTGTGCCATGTTTTTCAAATTGACTATAAACATCCCTTACAATTATTTTATTTATAGAGCCTAGCAAAGTGCTAGGTGCAGAGCAGACATTTTTTAAATATATCTAACAATTGAATAATTACATATTTGTGTGAAAAAAGAGCGTACGCATATATAAATTGTCCAAATATCTTTATCAAGGGCTTATTAAATATAATATATGCTTAGGCTCTTTTTTCATAAATATATTTTCCTAGGGACAATAATATGTCATATTATATTTTTGCTCATATCCTTTATTTTAGTTCTGGAATATTGCTTACAACAAAAATAGTGGTCTTGAAATTGGCTGGGTAAGTCATTTGTAGAAATTATATAAGTAGGAGACATCCAGGTCCTGTTCCTAGATGCTTTAATTTGGGTGTGAAAGAGGCTTCAGGTCAGTTTGACACATTGCAGGAGGTCATGAAATCTAAAAATGATTGTTGCATGTATGTAAGTATGTTATGTTGATATTTTATGACTGTAAAAATTGCCCACATATCATGGTGGAAGATGTATATACATATATATACACATATATATATACATACACACCACACACACACACACACACACACACACACACACACACACATATATATATATACACATATGTGTATGGATATATACACATATATATATATAAACATGTATATATATATATGTATCTATATACAGATATACACACATATAGATATACATATGTAGATATAGATATACATATGTAGATATAGATATGTTTGTATAAATAGGTAGAAGTTATGTAATTCTCCATCATAACTATTTTGGTTACAGAGCCACATATGGCATAAAAAATAAATCATAGGCATAGAAACCCTTTCTAGCTTTTTACCTAAGGGCATTTTATTCCCTAACTGTAGCTGTAGCTGCCTTCCAATCCAACAAAACCTCTAAGTTTATAAAGCCTGTCAACTTTCATTGCTAATTCTCAGTGATGGGATTGTAATTTGCTCTGGGAAGCTTTCCTATATTACAGTTAAGTCATTTGCATTCTATCAAATGATCTGTGTTCTGATGGGTCCAGGAATTCCTAGAAGTACCCCTTTTACTTTAGTTAAATTTTCTTCTTCTGAATGGCAGACATCAAAACACACACACACACACACACACACACACACACCTTTTATTGTAAGTACAATTAGATTTGTATCTGTAGAAGCGCCTTCTGTCCAGAGCCCCCTAAGGATGCTATACTCAACCCAAAAAAGAAAAGATTATTAACAGATAGATTGCCTATTTTTGTCTTTCCTACATTAAGCTCCCTTTCCCCCTTTAAACTAGAAAACTATTGTCCAGTAGCAGTATACAACTGCCACTCATTTCTGTCTATGTCATATTCTGACTGCTTGGCTCTAGGCAAGAAAATGTGATACACATAGTTATCTCCCATAACAGACTTTGAAATCAGGCCTGTGGATTTCTGTTGACTGTCCCAAAGCTTTTCTGGAACAGTTTTCACTGCTCCAGAAATGGCTACATAATTTATGTGGAATCAAGAAATGAAAAAGAAGAATGCAGATTTCTGTTTATGTATGAATTGAAATAAATCAAACTCTGGGTAAAAGTCCTAAAGTGGCTGCTAATTGTGTTCATTTAATAATAACTGTGTTTGTAAAGTGACTTCATGTGAATGATCACATTAATACAGCAATGGAGAAATTTTCTGAAGGTAGGAATTTATCCTTTTTCTGTTGGATTATTTTACCCAGGAAGTTTACAGCTAGAAAAGGAAATACTGGAATTCGATGGGTCAAGAAACTAAAAGTAGAGCTTCAAATGAAAGAAGTTCAGTGCTTGCAGGGACTTTCTGTGAGGCATTGAGATGTAGAAGAAAAATCTAGCTGTAACATCAGACAGATGTGGGGTTTTCCACTCACCAGCCATGTGACCTTAAGTAAATAACCCAAGTTCTTTCCTCAGGGTATTGGGAGGATCAATTGAAGCAAGATATATACAGTTCCTAAATACACATTAAGTATTCAGTGAAAAATTGGTTCATGCCTACCTCAAATGCAACCACCCATCCATTGCCTTTTCCCAATCTTATGCCCCTGTTCCAATTCTAGAAGAAAGAAAAAACTTAAGCAATGTGTCCTAAAGATATACAAATCAAAAT